TGGAAGGAATTTTACACTGGTCGTTTTCAACCATTTTGGGCAAGGTTGTATGCCATTTTCTGGATTGTTACTTCTTATATAGCTGTTTACAGTTTATTTTTGATTAGTGTTTGTATAAAAGGTGCAAATATTGCGATAAGTCAAACTCTTCAGACTGACCGAAACGACGAAATTAGGAAGACCAAATTGATGGGGTATAAGAAAAGTGCAGGCTCAAGAAGAAACGTCACAATTCCAATGGACTTGTAGCTTGGTCGTTTTCGAAAATTTTGGTTGTTCTGTTAGATGCATTTCGGCATTTTGGTTGGTTGATTGTTACTTTTTTTATGGTTGTCTTTAGTGTTTTGTGAGTTAGTTTATATACGTACTACACACGAAATTATCAGACAGACCAAACCGACGAGGATAGCCAGACCAAATTGATGGGAACAAGCGAAGTGCAGGCGCAAGAAGAAATATCACAATTCCAATGGACCTTTAGCTTGCTCTTTTTAGGGAATTTTGGTCAGACTGTTTTGGTCCTGTCAGACACATTTCAACCTACTGTAAAAATTGGTATGATGTAAAATATAAAACTCAAACAACGCAAATTGCGAAAAGTCGCCATATGAAAATTTATGGGAAACTGGCAAGGTGAAAGCTCAAGAAGAAATGTCACCAGTTTCATGACTTGTAGCATCGTCATTTTGGACCATTTTGGCCAAACTGTACTAACGGTTTTCATTCCGTCAGACGCATTTTCTCTATCTTGAAGGGCATGTTTGTTACTGTTTATATAGTTGTTTATAGATTTTTGTGCGTTTCTATAAAAGGTACATGCGAAAAATCGAAACATATCTGCCAGGTCAAAATGGCTAGTAAGGGGTTCCAAATTGATCGGCAACGAACAAAGTGCAGGCTCAAGAAGAAATGTCACCATATCGGCCGACTTTTATCTTGGTCGTTTTCGACCATTTGGGCTGGACTGGACACGCTGTTTTAATTCTGTCAGAGGCATTTCGGTCATTTTTAACGGTATGATTGTTACTTTTGTATGGTTGTTTTTAGTGTTTTGTGTGTTAGTTTATATATCCACACTGAAGATTGCGACAAGTTGAAACGCACCAGACAGACAAAAACGACGAGGGCAGGCATGCCAAATTGATCAGAAACGAGTAAAATATAGGCCCAAGAAGAAATGCAACTATTTTGATGGAGTTAGCCTGAATTATTTATTGAAATTGTTCAAAAATCTGTACTTTTGATTGAATCCTGCATTTTTGGCGTACGGTAAAATTTTGAGCGTTTGTCTTTTTTTTTCTCATTTTGTGTGAAACTATGTTCCTTTTTTTTATATAGAAATGAACTTTTGCAGAATAGATGGTGAAAATGGTTTGCTATACACCATCTTATTTCCAGGGTTTTACCTATGAACTGTCTTTTTTTCACTTTTCTCTCACTTTTTATACACATAAATACACATACATAAATCGGCGTCTATAAACGCTTTAGAAAAAAAAAAGTGTAAAGTTGTAAATTTTGTGCAATTATAGAAAAGACAATAGAAATGTTTATTAGACCGTTTCGGCCAAAGAAAATCATTTCTTTCTTTCCTTTTCCTTTTTTTCACTCGATACCTTCAATAACGTAACCCGGATGTTATAAAAATGGGTTACCGGTTGGGAGTCAAGGTCTTATGGCATCCAAAGGTTCGTTTCGCGACTAGCCAAGGTCTGACACTTTCGCCACAACTTCAACGTTTCCCATGTTGATAACTTGAGGATTTTCCGGATGAAAGAAATCTGTCGACTTGTAGGTCATAAACTGCTTGAAAACGTAAGATACATTTTGCTTTGACTAAGCCCTTGTGCCATTACATCAGTGTTCATAATGGAATTTAATCGCTTATCTTTCCAAGCTTTGCTCTATTTGTATTTATTAGCTGGAAAACACGTTTAGTTTAAGTTTTTTCCGTATAGTTCACCGTTTCGCAAAGGGCTTGTACGAAGTTGTTTGAACTACAAAAGGACACAAATCGGGCTTATTTCTGCGTCCTCTTAACCAAATCTATCGAGGAATTTTAAATATTAAATCATTTCGGTAAATTACATTACTATATGAGCTACAAACGATCTATTAAATAACTATTAAATAATACAATGTTTAAGCCGAGAAAAAAAATAAGACATCGTACAAAATACGACGGCTTGAAACGAAAATTCCGTGCTACTTGCTAAATAGAAACATTGAGTAGTGCTAATGTACCAGGTGGGGGTGGGCATGAGATCTGTGCTCTCTCCTACACCATTGTATTTGACGGGTTTGTTAATTTCGTCCATGATTCATTCCTAACAAGTGAATCGGCCGCGTTTCTCATTCCCGGAGGCGACTTCACGACTTACAAGCCTCGGCTAAGTCCGCCAACGTGTTTCTTCAACAGCGATTTTTGCACTAATTTCGTTGTGCAAATTCATTTTGAAGATCTTTAATAATTTTTCAGTAAATAAACTACATTTTATTCTTAATACTATTTTTTATCTTAGTACGCCTGTATTTTTATATAAATGCCTACGTTTTATTACGAAGGATACTCGTGTTACCAGTATGCATAAACTTCAACTAAATCGTGTTTTTTTTTTTTTAAATATTTTATTTCGATGTTTTGCAGGTTTATTTTATGAGGAAACACTGCCCACGTTCGCTCTTAACGATTCAGCTATTTGATCGTGCTTAAAATATTCATATATACCTAACCAAAAGAGCTTGGTTCAATAGTCTAGTTTCAGGATGAAAGAAATGCACCAGTTGGTTAATCATGGCTTAAATTATGTGCATAAAAGAAAGAGTTATATAAAATAGTACGTAGTAAGTCACAAAATAGTAAGTCAAATGTAGTTTTACATTTTAAATCATTAATTAATTTTTTTTAAATCCAAACAAGCCAGAAACACGGCTAATTACATAGTCAATAAGCCATCTAAAACCTTTTTCAGTTACAATGTTACATGTACAATGTGCAGTTACATATCATGTAGAATTAGAGTAATGTGAAATCAATCTAACTATAATAATAAATACATTATGCGATAAAGATGTCGAACGTGTTATTATTACAAATATTAATGACCATTATTAAAGGTCTATTGGTTGTCAAAACCATGATATTATATGCATGTATGAGAATCAAATATGCTAAAAATTCAAAGAATTTAGAAAAGTTTTTTATGGCTAGTGACATATCGCAGACGGACCAGACTAGAGCAAACCTGTATTTCCGAAATTTCTTGCTTAAATAAGGTGAGAACCCACACCAAAAATTTTTATTGTAAGCTCGTCTCAAGCAAAAATCTCTACAGATCCATAGGAAAGTACCATAATACACAGTAAAATAAACGTATCAAAGCGATTCTGTGATAAATAATTTGAATATACATAATATTTATTTCTTCATAGCCAAATTTATTTATTCATATGTTTATCTGCTTATTTAATTATTGTTACTTTCCTATACATTTACATATTTACTTATTCCCTATTTATATATTTAATTAAAATTTATCTTTGTATATATAAATAATTTAATTGTTACGTACAAGTAGTATGGCTTCAACTTAAGTAATACTTAATTTGTTCTTATAGCCTATTAATTTTCACTTTGAATTACAAGTGCCAGTGGGGTTTTCTCTAATTTTCCTCAATTTTCTCTGCCGTTGAACCGTCAGGAAAGAAAATAAAGCAAAAAAGCCAATGTAACATAGTCATAAACATTTAGTTGAAGGTCATAAAACGCAGCTGCATTTCGCACTACAATTTAAAAGCGTCAGGATAAATATTGTGATGTGATAATTATGATGTTAATAAATGTTTTATTAAACTTCTATTAATTGACATTCTGTAAATTTATTATTTTCCTTAAATTAGACAGGACTAAGGAGCCAAGGAGCTTTATAAAGGTGTGTCTGATAAATCGAATGATAAAAGATGCAATATTTTCTGCTCCAATTTAAGGAAACGTGTCAACGTACTATTAACCTGTTCCCATTTTGTCAGATTTTGCTTATCGTACTTTTTTTTTCTCGACAAGCGAGTATGCACAATTAACGTTGGGTTTCATTTCGAAATCCGACCTAATTAAAACAAAAATTAAAACAAGAGTTTATTTATTGTTGGGGGATGTGGCTCAGTGTGGAAAATGAATAAATGAACTAAAGTTTATTATTCAAAAATGCCCGCTAAGAACGTCGAACCTTTTTTTTCTTACAACTTTATTACTAAACCTTTTGTTAAATTGTTAAACTTTGACCGTTACGTAAAACGAGACCTCATACAAAGACGAGAGAGTTCTTGAGCCTCAAATCCCAACGACGGCCGAGTAATACAAATGGGCTTTTATACCTTGATATCATAAAAAGTCGGCAACTTTGTTGAAATTAAGCATCTTGTAACCGTTTCGGCTGGAAACAAGTTTAAAAGATTTTGATCTCGCTGTGAAAGCGTTAAGTTTGTATCAAAACTCCGCAACCGACTTTGCATTACACTAATCGTTTCGTAACTTGTTACAAGGCTGTTTTTGATTCGTCAGTCAAACATTTAATTCGAATTGTTAATTTGAATCACAAATTAAAAGTCCTTTCCTGAAAGCTGGATGGGAAACAGTTTAAAAAGTAACACATTTGAAGGAGTATATCTGTCATTCGAACAAATGTTGACAAAACCAAATAAAGTATACAAAACCAAAATAAATTTTAAAACTCGTGGTCGATAAAGTACAAAAAAAAAAGATTTTTTTGTTTAAATTGACTTAGAATTTATAATAAACCTTTATTACAGGACTAAAATTTCGTCAGGATTTTTCATAGATTTTTCTATATCGTTATATCTATTTATTAACGAATAACAAAAAGAATGATTTAAACACGAAAAACAGTTACTTCTTTACTAAAAAAAAAAAAAAAAATAAAATAAAACCATAAAAAATAAACGGATATAACAGATTGAGAGTTGTCGAAAGTTTGACTCACGTGTAATAACGATTCCGAAAGCACTAACAAACACTGTCACAAACAAGAGGTCCATTCTACCCAAGGAGACTTGGAAGCCCGAAGGTGAAAGTTGCACTGAAGAGTGAAAGCCAGGCAGAAACAGAGTTGGGCCCCCTCCAGCAACTCCTCCCCTAGCATTCTCCCGGATCCGACGACACGACACCTGAAGTCTGAACCAGAAGACAAAGTGAAGGCGTAGGTGCCATTTTATCCAGAAACGCGTCTGATGCGTCTGCCTCTCGATAGACGATGAGGAGCGACGAATTTTTCTTTTTTTCGGCCTTTAATATTATTAAATTTTATGTTTTCGTTGATACGAAACGGCGTTTACGTCTGACAATTGGCTCTAAATATTAAACATTTGTCGTCATCATCAAAGATTCGGTACAAGTACATAAACTGCTCAAAAATGAATAGGGATGTAAGAAATTATTTTATTTTTACTAAAAGGAAATTTAATCAAGGGATTTTGAAAAATAACAAAATAAAAGGTTTTAATTCCATAATTATGGACTTACACTTAGAAATTTACACCTGGAATATAAAGCCTGTATATCGTGCCCTGAAGGAAGATCTGACTTTTTTGAAGTAAAACGCGGTGTTAGGCAAGGATGTCTTTTAAGCCCTATTCTTTTTTCCCTGTATATAAACGATGTTGTGGATGTGCTGACTAGAGGGGTAAAGATTGGGGGAGCTGAAGTTAAAATTTTACTATATGCAGATGACATTGTTATGACATATAGGTAGACTTTGTAAGGAAGAAAGCTGGAAATATCAGAACAAAATGGTCACAGTAGTACAAGTATTCAGGCGTCACTCTAACCTCTAAGTTGTCCTTCAAAAAACTTATAGTTGAAAAAAGCCAAACCTGCAAAGTTTGTATTAAGTACCACCTGGAGTGGAGCTATCACACACTCATCAGTTCCTTTAAGCGCATTAAAGGATTACAAAATTAAATTACAAGTGTTTAACTCAGTTTCTCAATCAATTCTCTGTTTCACTTCCCTGGTTTGGGGATTTACATATTTCCTAGAGGTGAAAAAGGTTCAATGGTTTTTTTTATTCGCAAATTATTTTACCTTCCCTGTTTCTCTCCAACTTATATAATGACGTTAGAAACTGAGCAAAACCCAGTTAAATACATAACGAGAGTTAAAAGTTTACCATCATACAGGCTTCCAAAGACCATGGCATGTGAAATGTGGAAAAAAGGGCTATTTTGGGCATTTGAACGGAAGGCACTAGCTCGTAAATATTATGATTCCAAATTTCCAATGCTCTTCTTGACCCTAATTTTGATTTTTCTGACTCCCATGCAGTTAAAACTAAACTCCATTCTTTAAATATATTGGTTAGAAAGAGCAGAGTTTGTGGCAAGAGCCATCATATCCCAACATTATACATTAAACAGGGAACTAAATCTGAATGTAAAGATGTAAAGTGTGCAAGCTTGACTGAAAAAAAAAAAAAAATAAATAAATTAGATCCTCGATCCATCAGATGGTGAAGTTAAGGGGCAAGTTGCTTAACTTGAACTACAAACCGTACAAAACTTCAAAACGAGAGAATAATGCTGTCTTTCACTTGAAATTTAACTTGAAATCAAGGACATTTTCCATTTTATAGCAGTTTGCCCTATTCTTCTATCATCTATAGAAGATGCCATTAATCGGGTGTTCACAATTATATATAAAGATTTTTTTCAAAATTGAATTGTTTGTTTTTGTTTAAATTTAATCATCTTTGTTAAAACTGTGTTCTTAGTGTTAAGTAAGGTAGGATATAATACAATTTCAATAATGCTCCAGACTTTAAAAATAGATCTTTAATAATTCTGTAACCTGAGTTCAAAATTATAAAATAATTTTTTTATTAACTATTTATTCGCCACATTGTCACTATCACAGAATATCTATCACCAAGAACTATTGATTTAATTACAGAAAAAAAACTTATTTAACACCATATATGCCCAAATTATATGCTAATATTACATTATATGATTACTTGTTTAAGCCAACAGGTTGCATTTGTACGAACTGAGTTCTAATATTGTTAGGTGAAGTGTAAAACAATTGCTGCTAAAAAAAACTTGAAAAAATAGTTCTTTAATAAATCTGTAACATGCATTATCACATAATTTTTTGTAAACTGCATATTTATTCACTGAATTATTTCTATCACAGAATATCACCAAAAATTGTTAAACCAAAATTAAACCATTAAATTGCGTTGATTTAATTTAAAATAGAAACTACTTTGACTATACTTAACAGTATATATTGCCATATTGTATGCTGACCATTACATTATTTTTATACAATAATTTATACAAACAAATCAGGACAACAGTAAATCAGATATATTTATTTGAATTTTCTAAACCCAAATAGGTTAGTTTCTTGATATATAGTGATAAATCATTTATTACAATATAGCATTGTTGTTTTATCATTAAGCAATTTTTCAAAAACCAAGCTTTCAACACATAATGTAAATGTTATGTGTCTAAATCATGAAATGGTAATTGTTCTTCTGACGCAACAATTACTCAGCAGAATGCTTTTTTTTTTCCACTAAAGTTATATTTCTAACATTAATTTTAGTAAAGTATAAGGTTCTTGTCTGATATGAGCTTGAGATTACAGTTTTATTTGTATTTCTACTTCTCAAATTGTTCGATCTAATCAATATTTCCATGGCACCAATTAATTATTTTCTATTTTCTTAAGCCTGCTTTATTTTTTTTCCAAATAAGCCTGTAATTTTTTAAGTTCATCCCAGAACACAAAACACAATACTGTATGAGGTCCTATTCTCATATAACATGGTACAATTCCTTTATAAAAACCTTTAAATCCTTCTGTTTTCCAAATTTTTGTAACACAGTCAAAGTATCCGTTATACAAAATCCCTTTTCCGTCCTTTGTGATACCTGAAATTATAAAACAGGTTGTCTAACACGCAGAAAAAACTATTAGTCAAGAAGTTGAGGTTATCTTGTTTAAAATGATTAATTAGCTAATCAATTACCTGAATATATTTTTTCTACAGGTTTTAACATGAAAGCTTTCAATAAAGAACAAGAGGAAAAATCATTGAAGAAAAAAAGAGATGTTCAACGTGAGGTCAAAGTCTCTTGTGTACCTGTTTTTTGTGTTTGATTATCCAATTATCCCTTCCTTCGTCATGCACATGGCTTTATCTAGATTGAAGTATCTTAAATTACATTCTCATAGCACTTACCTTGATTATACAATCGTGTTGATATAACATCTAGTGGACCCATTGTAATTGCAACAAAAATACCTCCAATCATGCTTGACACGAAAGTGTTTAAAAGCCCAGAATGTATTACAAAATACTGCAAATTTGTAAAATTATTGAAACAATCGTGTGTTTATTATATGTTTATCTGTTTACAACCTTATTGTTAGCAAGAAACTCTTTAGAAACATAAAAAGCTGTCAGTTGTGAAGCTGAACCGACACAAATACGGGGTACGCTTCCAATCACACCTCGCCACAGCCCGGTTATTCCGCCTTCCCTATAAACGCTGTTTAAAATTCCAAATGTATTCTTGGCTTCATGCTGATATCCTACTGCTATGCTCTTATTTGCTTGTGATTGGAGTCTGATTTTTGCCTAAAAAGTACCTACTCATAGTAAGTATATCTCATCATTATTACATTATCACTTGTTAGGTAGCTTGATTAGACTCAATTTTTTTTTTTGTTAAATGCTGTTCATGTTCATTAAAGGTATACAGGGTGAGTTTAACTTCTTGGTGTGTATATTATATATTTTTTTTATTTAATTAGTTTTTATTGGACCTTTTTTGGGAAAAATTGAAGAAATCCTGAGACATGTAAACTTTTATTTTTTGTTTTCTCACCTTCCAAAATGTTTTGATCTAACTAAAGGATTAACTATTTCAAATAGCAAGGTAATTTGGAAAAACGATTGTCAATTAATTTGCAAAAAAACCTTTTCCAAATACTATTTTTTGGACAAACAAAATCTTTTCTGACACCTTCAACCAGTCATCTATTTATTTATAATTTTGATTGTAGATTACTTGCTCTTGATACTGAAAGTAAAATTTGGCAACAATTTCCTCAAATATCAATAAACAGTATGCTGTGAATGTAGCTCATTACAGCATAATTCAACCTGGTGCAAATTTCAATTCACAAATTCAAACTTAAAAGAAATCAATGTTTGACAAACAATATGTAAATCAAAATTGATTTTTTGACCTTTGAAAAATCCCTAAAAAAGATTGAAATGATTTAATAGATCTTAAAAAAAGACATCTTAAAAAAATGACACTAAAGTGAAGTTTTACATTCTTTGACTTACTGTGCAAAACATGAAAATATCTTGGCATTACTGAAATTTGCACTAGGCTGAATCGTGCATTAATGAGTTACATCCAGAGCGTCCTACTAATTAGTGTTATTTGAGGAAATTGTTGCCAAATTTTTCTTTAAGTACCATGAGCAATTAATTTAAATTGGCGTTTGGTTGAAGGAGTTGGGGAAGATTTCATTTATCAAAAAAACTCGGGGGTCTGGGCGGAAGGCGCTCGGACATTAAATTCGTGACAACGTATCCTAAGACAAGGAACACTTATACGCTCGGCTTTAATCGGTTACTCTCTCAAAAAACAGTGTTCGGAAAAGGTTTTTGCAAATAACAACAATTGTTGCATGCAAATTAAAAATTGAATTTAGCATCAAAAACCCTTTAAAAAAGGTACATTTATGAATTCAGTTTGATGAGCCTTATGAAATAATTGGTTTGTTCACATCTCATTATCCTGGAGAGTTAGATCAAAGCTTTTAGGATCATAAGGAACTATACAAAAATAAAGGCTAATAAAAAACTGTATTATCTTATACCGATAATATTGTTTTTGCTATTTTATGGATTCAAGGATCAAGATAAAACATAATAATAAAAGCTTATGTCTCAGATTTTTCCCAAAAACAATCTAATAAAAATAATACGGAGAACAGAAGATGAACTTAATACATAAACTTTACCTATGTGAAATATCACACATTGTTATAAAAAGAAACTTGTGTGGAGGACAGTGTGGCTGGAATAAAATAAAACAACCATGTCCTGCAATATTTGGTACTATTTAGAGTCTGAAGAACCATCAAACACCGATAGCTCCAATCAACATCCAACACCAATATTTATTAATAATAATAATTATTACTAGGTATAGAGGACTTCCAGCATAGGCTCCAAAGAAGCCCATTACCACACCGATGATTGTCGTATTAACCAATGATACCTCTCCATTTTCTTTTAAATTTAACTTTCTTTGTTCAGCTAGGTGATAACCCCCAAGGCGCACACCGTTCAACAATACCTTAAAAAATTCTATGAGTTGTGATAAAATCATATAGCATTACTATTTTTAAAAAAAATAAACCTGATGTATGGCTGCAGACGCAAGCCCTTTTTGCAATGCCAAAACTCCTTCTGTTTTACCAATGAGGTAAAAAGCATGAAAGAAATTTTTATAATGAACTGTATATTGTCCTAAAACATGTAAAAATGTATTAAAAATCAATACAAATTAACACAAAGAAATATATAGGTAACATTTTCAATGTATAATTATTAAAAGCAGATTAATATTGATATACATCCTCAATTACTGTTTCTGACCAAGGATTTTGGTTCTATGATGTTTTGTCCACAACTTACCTTTTTTCTTTAATTCCCCTTGTAGTTGAAATCTGGTTTTGACAACCTCCAAAGGATTTGTGAATATAACAGCACCGACAGCAGACGAGGCTCCAATTATAAATTCCATGTTGTATAGATAAAAGTTTATTTATTCTACAAATTTATGTGAATAGGAAAAAGTCAAGACCTTTTTTTAAAAAGCACTGGAAACGAAAAGTAAAACACAATAGAAATATAATTATGTAAGTATAATTTTTTATGTATTTTTATGTTATATATCCATTGTTATCACATTATTTCTTTTATATAGTTGAATGATTTATATAGTTTGATGCTGAAAATGTATTTGTGATTTGTTAAGTTGGAGAAGAAAACCATTTTTCTATAATTTCTTGGGTACACATGATTTTCTTTTCAATATTATTTTGTTATATGTGTATGATTAAACTAGTAGTTGTAGCATAACTGTAACTACATCACCAATACTATAAATTCAAATTGGTCATCAAACAGCATCAGAAAACAATGCTAATAAAACTGTTCAAAAGATTAGTTGCATGTATAAAGTTGGATAAATGAGAAGATTGTTTTTTCAGAGTTTGAATGTTTGTATTAACATTCACTAATTTCGTGGTCCGCCACCAATTATACTAATTAATATATTACAATTAATTAAGGTTTTTAGTTGAGATAAAAAAGTCAATGGCACAAGCGGGATTCGAACCCACGATCTTCGGCTAGATACGCTGCTGCTCTACCACTTGAGCTATCGTGACCTCGATCCACTCGGACACCAATTTCCCGTCTCAACCCCACCTTTTGAATTTTCCCTCCTTTTTGCCATTTTTCTAAAGTGGTAGAGCAGCGGCGTATCTAGCCGAAGATCGTGGGTTCGAATCCCACTCGTGCCATTGACTTTTTTATCTCAACTAAAAACCTTAATTAATTGTTTGTATTAACAGTTGTGTTAATTTGTCTAGTTTGTTCCAGTGCAAAAAAATGAAAAACACGATTTAAAAAAATCTCTTATACAAGTCTGGATACCCATTTTTTAATCCCCCCCAGATTTAAATATGATGTTATATGATATTATGATTGTGATATTTTAAATATGTGGTTATAGGTGCAGGTGTTTTTGAAAAAAAAAGTCCATTTGTATATTGGGTTGGAATGCAAGGCCGCTGGATTCGAACCCAGGACTTTTACTTACAGTGATGACAGGGCTCTGTGTCAACACCTAAACCACTATGGCCATCGACGCCCCCTCCATTATTTAAAATGTTTAATATTTTACACAATATTTAAACATTTTAAAAAATGGATATCCATAACTCCTACTTGTTTGGATCTCCACTCAAATTTGATTGCAATGATGTTTAACAAATATAACAACAAAATAGAACAATTTAACCCTTGATCCCATTCTCTTTCATTAAGTGTTACATATTAATCCATATGTTTAGTTATCATAATAATTAATCTCATTAATCATTAATTTCATATATTATAATCTTTAGTAGTCTTGACTGTATTAATTATTTTAATTAATTTTACTTTTTATCTATGGTCTTGGTTTTGATGAAAAAGTTAGTGTCCTCGACCTTTGGCTCATGACAACTTTTCATCACAACCAACAACTTAGATACAAAGTATAATAATTAAGTGTTACATTTAGTTTGGACATTGAGCAGTACATTATTTATTAGTTTTAAAAAATGACAAGAATAAGAGTAAGATAAAAAGAAATTTATCACATATAAAAAGAAAAAGAAGGACAATAACAAAGAAAATACGAATTTAAAAAAAAAATTAATGATAAAACGTCAGAAATTTAGGGTAGGTAGAAAATTTACAAGCATTTTTACACTTTTTGGCCTAAAAGGCATTACCAATTTCACAATAGGTGTAGCCAATTTTAGATAGTTTCGCATTATTTTAAAATTGGTTAAAACTGTAGTGGAACAACGTTTCCAAATGCAATTGTCCTGTTTGACAGAAAGGAGGATCAAATATCGTTCTGATCTGTCTGTCCTCGCTGCTTTGGCTTTTAGGAAAGGGTTTTTACTTAAAAAGTATATCCAAGGTACCCATTATTTCTGTTTGTCATAATTTATCTTATATGCACCACTCTACAACGCTACCTATCCAATAGGCAGAAACATTGGACCTCCTAAATAGCCAATTTAAATATTTAGTGAGAATAGCCAGATTATGACGAACGGAAATGAACAAACTAATTTATTGTCCTCTAGACTACAAGAAAAAATCCCACAATTTAATATGAATAGAATGATCATCACTGTCACAAAAACACCACTAAATTTGGCAAAATGTTAAGCCACGATTGACAGACCAAAAAAGTCAGACCATGATTATCAGCAGTGACCAAACTGTAGGTTTAACTCTCTGTGGACTACAAGAAGAAATCTCACGACTTAATGATAGCATGATCATCTCTGATTAAAATATAATATTGAAGATAGCAAAATGCTGAACTGCTTATGACAGGCTAAAATAGTGAGGATAGTCAGATTATTATGATCAGAAATGACCAAACTATAGGTTTAACTCTTTTTGGACTACAAGAAGGAATCTCACGACTTAATGATAGCATGATCATCTCTCATTAAAATATAATACTGAAGATAGGAAAATGCTGAACTGCTTAAAACAGGATAAAATAGTGAGGATAGTCAGATTATTATGATCAGAAATGACCAAACTATAGGTTTAACTCTTTTTGGACTACAAGAAGGAATCTCACGACTTAATGATAGCATGATCATCTCTGATTAAAGTATAATATTGAAGATAGCAAAATGCTGAACTGCTTATGACAGGCTAAAATAGTGAGAATAGTCAGATTATTATGATCAGAAATGACCAAACTATAGGTTTAACTCTTTTTGGACTACAAGAAGGAATCTCATGACTTAATGATAGCATGATCATCTCTCATTAAAATATAATACTGAAGATAGGAAAATGCTGAACTGCTTAAAACAGGCTAAAATAGTGAGGATAGTCAGATTATTATGATCAGAAATGACCAAACTATAGGTTTAACTCTTTTTGGACTACAAGAAGGAATCTCACAACTTAATGATAGCATGATCATCTCTCATTAAAATATAATACTGAATATAAGAAAATGCTGAACTGCTTATGACAGGTTAAAATAGTAAAGACAGTCAGATAGTTATGATCAGAAATGACCAAACTACTAGTTTATCGCCTTGAAAACAAGAAGCAATACCACAATTTATTACTAATAGCCTGATCATCTCTATTCAAATACACAACTAAAGCTGGTAAAAAAATGCATCTGACAGACCAAACAGTGAAGACAACCGGATCGTGATTATTGGAAATGAACAAATTAGTTTATAGTCCTACAAGAAAAAATCCCACAATTTAATAGGAATAGAATGATCATCACTGATAGAAAAACACCACTAAAGATAGCAAAATGTTAAGCCACGTCTGATGGACCAAAATATTGAAGATAGAACATGATGATTGGAAATGACCAAACTACAGGTTTAACGCTCCATAGACTACAAAAAGAAAACAAAAGAATAATTAGAAAGTCAAAATATTAACTTCTCAATTCTTTTCTGACGCTAGTTCCTCTTATTGAACAAAATCTAGAAATATGAGTCAGAACTCTACAATTTAGCATTTTAAATTACAACTTTTGACATTTTGTGTTTATTTATTTTGATTATTCTTTGCATAAAAAGCAAAGTGTAATTCAGATGTAGAGTTGATGATGGGTTTTGGCCTGCAAGTCAGTGAACTTATATTGATGAGTTCATCGACTCGCAGACCGAAACCCAAAGTTCAAAAATCCCATGAGTGGAGGCAGACCCAGTAAGTTACCCTGTGCTGGTTCAACATAATACAGATACGTTATGTGTTTTGAATAGAATCTATGCTAAAATCCTCATCCTGTACTCGTATGTTAAATGTAAGCATATGTACTTCCTTTCTTGCTAGAAGTTTGTTTTTTTCTTTTTTTAAATTTGATGTGTTTCTTTCTCCATTTTTCCAAATTACAAAAATCAATGTGTGAAGTTTTTATTTCAACTGGGGTACAACTTAAATTCCATTGAGTATGAGATGTGATTTTGTTTGACTATTTAAAAGAACAAGGCGTGAGGGGTGACAAACGTTGTTTTTATTTTTTACCTTGAATCAGTAGAGTAAAAACAGCTTTTGGTAAGAAAAATTGAAAAAATCCTACTCAAGTAAGTACACCACAAAAGGTAAGGCCCAACAAGTGAGCTAAGAGACGCAGGAACTAAAAAGTAACATTCTAATCAAGGAATAACCTGTTAATGGTGATAACTGATAAGGATATCTTGTGGGAAGGGAATGCCTGAAATGAAAATTAGTAATAAAAAATAAATAAATCATCTTTAATGCTGGAAATATAACAATTTTATCTGAATAATTTGCTGTAAAAAATAATAAATAACAGTTTTTCTTTTAAAAAATTGGTCTCTCCTCTGAGAAATGTCACTATTTAATTGAGTTTTGTTTTTACATCTTGATAATTTTCAAGGTTTACAGTTCTTTCTCCTGCCAGTTTGGGTAAAATCTTTTTCTGCTTGATTATTGCAATATTTTTCATCTCTTTTAGTAAACTCTAGGATCTTTTAAGTACTACCAAATTCATGTTCAGTCCACTTCTCAACGCAAGAATTCATGGGAGGAAATGTGAAATGTACAACCATAGAAGAGATACAACTGCTAAAACCAGGCTTAATAATCAAAGTCCTCGATGCTACCGGTGTGCTATAGGTAGAGAACTCTTAAAGGGCTCCATATACCGGCTCACAGCGTAATCAGGTAACGCTGATGTGGGTGCCAGGACCTAAGGAGGTTGAAGGCAATGAACAAGCTGACTAGCTAGCAAAGGTAGCCTTCACATTCATTGGACTGGAACCATAAATTAGCATGCTACAAAGCTGAGGTATGACTGAGTAGTACGACCCAGATTTAAGCGGAAGTCTTATACCTAGCCGGTCTCGGGGACTGTGCTAGTTTGGTGGGGGTTGCCAAGTAATGAACATGGCTACATGTAAAATGTGTGTTAAAAAAAGCTTCGGCTGGCCCGTAAAGTTGAATTTGCCATATAAAGAAATGAGTGAAGAGGAACTGTAGAAAATTTCTTAAGCGTTATGCTTTTATAGGGAATTGAAGTAAAGAAGGGTCAATTCCACAATAGATCTTTTAGGTCATAGTGGAAGAACAGAAGAGTGGTCACCAGACCCTGGGAAAGGAAAAAGCCAAGTCACCCCACATCTAATCCTGTCAGACAATTAATTTATATGAATTTAGTTTGTTTTTTATGATTCTCTGCATTACCCTAATGAAATTAATCTTTTTGAAAAATGTGTATAATTTTCTGTTCTATACAAAATACTAAAATAAGACTTTTTATAAAGTTAAATAAATCATTTATTTTAAAATTGGTCTTAATGACATATGTTTACTATTTAACAAAATACATGTGTTAATAGGCAATGTTTAAAAAATAGGAGTGATAAATAAAAAAATAGTTTTATTTAAAAACTAACATTTACAACTAATCTGTTCCACTTTCTTCAAAAAAATCAGTTGATAAATCAACATCACTTGCAGTCCGTGTTGAGGTAGATTCGGAGTCATCGGACTCGCTTGCAGTACTGAGTGTTTCGGACGAATGCGAACCAAAGCCGTTCTCAACCTCCACACTGTTGGTCGTAATGGTCCGCGTCCTAGACCTGGAAGATCGTCGTCTAAGTAGAACGCAAGCCGGGTCGACTGTCAGCCTGGGCCTTTTATACTTTCCAGAGGCCACCTTCTCGTCGACGAGTTCCGCAGGTATCACAATTGTACCCGAATCGTGCATTCTGCGGCTCAGGTCAAGGTATTTAAGAGTCGCTATTAGATCTTCGATAGATATGCTAGTCGCATGAGACACCTCGGACAAGGACATTTCTCCCCTGTGGTCTTTTAAAAGATCGAGAACAACCCACGACCAATACGACAAAAAGCTGAGGCGGCCTAAATCTGAAAGCGGTTTTTCCGGGCTTCCAACTACACCTTCCAACTTGCTCAGTTCATAGCTGAACCCTATTAAAAGTTTACCATAGCCCCGCTTCTGAAAAGGGGGTATCGTCAATATACAAGCTAGGTTGTGACCTTCGGGTGAATGTTTTTCTTTTGAGAAATAGCCGACTATGTGCGATCCCTCTGCATCCACTTCGCACAACACGTAAAAAACAAATTGCTCCAAGTCAAAAAATATTGTCTTATGGTCGATGAAAAGCTTCGCGAACAAGCAAAGGTTCTGGCAATAGAGATGATTGTCGTCTGCGTTTATCTCATAAATGCCTAATGTGCCTTTAGAATACACATTCCTCCCTGGAGGCTTTCTGACTTTACAATCTCCCAAATGGTAGCAATAGGTCTGCTCCAATTTCATATACTTGAGGCAGTATTCACAAACGAAGAGTTTCGACTCCTTGCCGTATTCTTCCGGATAAGGGCTGAAATACCACGTCTGAATTTCGTACTTCCCAAACTGGACGCAGTTGATGTATTTGACTTTTGTTATCATCTCGTGTTCCTTCTCCAACTCGTCGTCCGTCGACTCCCTCTCTTCTTCGCTGGAGGCCCTCGTCTTGTTCCGAGTCATGTAGTACCTGCCGCCGTCCGAGTCGTCTTCCATAGGTTCTTCCATGCCCGACTCTTGACTCGGCGCCTCACAGCACATTATCTCGACGCAGTCCCTGGTGACCCACTCGTCCAGACGTTTGTCCAACGAGTTGTAGTGGACGTAGTACTCCATCAGGCTCTTCTCCCCGTTCAGCCTCTCCTGCAGCACTTCGCCTTTCCGCAGTTCGTTGTCTTTTCTTATCATGTAAAACCGTCCGATTTCGATCGGCACGGACCCAATCTCCTCCCCGTTCGTCTTCACTGCCGAACCGTCCATTTTTAACCCCACTGATAAATGACATAAAAATAAATTACAAATATAAACAAAAAACCCTGGCAAAGAATCCTGTCCCGCTATAACCTTTTTACACTATTTATTACTATTATAGAATCAAAAAGTAAAAACATGTTTGCTCACAAAAAGAGTCCACGCGTTATCTCTCTATCTCCCGGTTCAGTGAACACCAACTCTCTGCATTATTAATGAAATAATATTATTAACGTAAACAAATTTGAAATGTAACGGATGCTTGGTTAAGCGGGGTTGGATTGTTTACTACTTTATCAATGATATCCAGTTCGCCTCATTTCTTCTGGCGGCGCTTGCTTCAACTACTTCCTTCTGGACCTACTCATCACGCCTATAGTCTATTCCCCAACTGAAGGTTTATCACAAACTAAGAATTAACAGATTTACTCATTTTGGCAATTTTCTGTAATTATTGATATTTTTTTGTAATGTTAATGTTATTTTTGTTATACATAGCAAAAATAACTGACCAGAACAAAAGAAACGATTTACAAATGTAATCAATATCAAAATTGATGTCTGAAGTTACATACTTACTCCATTTTAATATTTTCCATTATTCTTGTTATTTTCTGTAATTAAGATATTATTTTTGTAAAACTTCACACAAACAACATTTTAAAACAAAAGAAATTAATATCAACTTAAAAAACAGTGTTAAAATTTGCAAATTCATTGATGTAAAAAGTGGTAGACTTACTCCATTTTGCTATTTTCCAATGTATTATTTTTCATGTACAAAGTGGCATAATTAATTCATTAGTTCCTTTTGCATATAGCATAAATAATCATTCTAAAACCAAAGAAATTAACATCAAATGTAAAAAAATTAGTAGATGTTATTGATTTAAAAAATGGCAAAATTAAGGTATTTTTTCACTTAGCATACATTATCATTTTATAACCAAAGAAATTAACATCAAATGTAAAAAAAAATTAAATTATTAGACGTTATTGATGTAAAAAGTGGCATAATTAAGGTATTTTATTCACTTAGCATACATACTCATTTTATAACCAAAGAAATTAACATCAAATGTAAAAAAAAAATTAAATTATTAGACGTAATTGATGTAAAAAGTGGCATAATTAAGGTATTTTATTCACTTAGCGTACATAATAATTTTATAATCAAAGAAATTGACATCAAATGTAAAAAAAATGTTAAAGTTAGTAGATATTATTGATGTCAAAAGTGGCATAATTAATGTATTATTTTTTTGAACTTAGCATAAATAATTATTTTATATCAAAACAAGTTAACATCAAATGAAAAAAAAGTTACAATTTGCAGATATCATTGCTGTAAAAAGTGGCAGACTAACTCCATTTTGCTATTTTCCATTATTCGTGTTATTTTCTGTAATTAATATATTATTTTTGTAAAACTTCACAACAACATTTTAAAACAAAAGAAATTAATATCAAATAAAAAAAACAGTGTTAAAATTTGCAAATTCATTGATGTAAAAAGTGGCAGACTGACTCTTTTACTATTTTCCAATGTATTATTTTTCCTGCACAAAGTGGCATAATTATTCATTATTTATTTAGAAATCGTGAGATGCGGTCTGGTGTGATGTAGGTTTCAGAAAAACATTTTCTTATCGTGCCAACGTTTCGATCTTTATTGAGATCATCTTAAAGGCCTGGGATTTACAACATTGCTTACATATAACAATTACATTTTGGATGTGGAAAAGTGAATTTATACACATATTATTTATACTAGACCGCATCTCATGATTTCTAAATAAATATCGATTAACGGTCACTAATCACCACACATTAATTCATTAGTTCCTTTTGTATATAGCATAAATAATCATTCTAAAACCAAAGAAATTAATATCAAATGTAAAAAAGTTCTTAAAATTAGTAGATGTTATTGATTTAAAAATTGGCATAATTAAGGTATTTTTTTATACTTAGCATACATAATCATTTTATAACCAAAGAAATTAACATCAAATGTAAAAAATGCGTTAAAATTAGTAGATGTTATTGATTTAAAAAATGGCATAATTAATGTATTTTTTACACTTATCATAAATAATTATTTTATATCGAAAGAAAAAGGAGAGAGAAAGAGAGAGAGAGAGAGAGAGAGAGAGAGAGAGAGAGAGAGAGAGAGAGAGAGAGAGAGAGAGCGCGCGTATTTTTTACA